AAGGAAGGAAGGAAGGAAGGAAGGAAGGAAGGAAGGAAGGAAGGAAGGAAGGAAAAGGAAAGGAACTGGGTGGTTCAGAACTGTGAAAAATAAGGTAAAATAAAAGGGAGAGAGGTTGGAAGAAAAGGAGGAAGGGAAGGAGGGTGGGAGGTATGAAGGAAGGAATTGGAATGGGGAGGGAAAGGAAAGGGGGAGGGAGGGAGAAAGGGAGGAAGGAAGGAGAATTGGAAGAGGAATCCTGGGAGTAGAAGTCCGCGAGTCTTAAAGTTGCCAAGTTTTGGAGACCCCCTGCTTTACGACAGTGGAGACCAGAGATGGGGGTGACCTCATGAAAATGTTCTTCATCTCCAGATGGTTGGAAGGTCAACAAGACACGTTTGTTGAAGTGTCTTCCCTCATACATTTTCTTGTAAAATCTTGAAGATCAATCGTGGTGGCCAGGAGACATCTCTGCGGCTTCCTCCTCGTTGCTGGCCAAGTTCTCCATGACCACCAAAAGACCTTGGATCTTCTCCAAGGGCAGTTAATCTCTAACACGTGCCATGTGAATGATACACCCGGCTGTGGGATCAAGAGGTTGCTCTATGGCGTGAAATTGCTCTGTGGGCTGAAAAGTCACACCAAGAGTTTGCTGCCTCTGTGTCCTTTTTCACACTTCCACCCCTGTTGTGCTGTCACACTTTAACCTGGAGCTCAACTAGAACTTGCCTCTGTCCTGGTTCAATTTCTTGGAAGATCACGGTTTTTCCACCTCCAAAAGAGGTGTTTTTTTTTAGGAAAGAAAGAAGACAGTTTTTGCTGGATGGAGAATGTCCGGTCCCACCCAGATTAGGGGAGGCGGTATATTTATTCCTTGATTCCAGAAGAGGAGTCCAAAACCGTATCCTTCATCTTTGTGGCTTCTAAGAAAAGAGATCCTGCTTTTCTGGATGAGGAGAAACTGGCTGAAGGTCCTTTGGTTAAAAGTCTTTTGGAGATCTAGTTTAAGATCCTTTGGAGAAACTGGTTGAAGGTCCTTTGAAGATCTAGTTTAAGATCCTTTGGAGAAACTGGTTGAAAGTCTTTTGAAGAAATTGGTTGAAGGTCCTTTGAAGATCTAGTTTAAGATTCTTTGGAGAAACTGGTTAAAGGTCCTTTAGAGATCTGGTTGAAGGTCCCTTGAAGAAACCAGCTGAAGTGCCTTTGGAGAAAATGGTTTAAGGTCCTTCCTAAAAAAAAACAGTGCTCATGCAAAGTTTGATAGACATCTACCAGGAAGAGGTCCAGCAAGTGCTACATCCTTTCCCTCCACCTTCTCACACAGGTTTCTCCAATTTTGGTCCTTCCAGCTGCCCATCATGGGCTTCACAGAGGTCTTAGAACATGTTGGCAGCATGGGACGCTTCCAAATTGTCTATGTGACCCTCGTCTCCATTCCGGTGCTTATGATGGCTTGTCATATGATACTGCAGAATTTTACCGCGGGGACGCCGGATCATCACTGCGCGCCCAGCCGCGACGCTGTTCCCAGGAACTGGACTTCCGAAGATGAGGCTCTCCTTGGGGTGTCCCTCCCCATGGACGAGAACCGAAAGCCGGCAGAGTGCCACCGTTTCCGCCAGAAGCAGTGGTGGCATTCGAACGGCACCGCAGAGAACGAAACCCAGATGGAAACCGAACCGTGTAGAGATGGATGGGTGTACAACCGAAGCACCTTCCAACAGACCATTGTGACAGAGGTGAGATCAAAGATTGTCTGGATTCAGAGGCGATCAGGTTGGGCACATCCAGGTTCTCAAATCAGGAGGCTAAGACTCCCCCAGACACCGTAGGTAGTCCTCGACTTACAACTGTTCATTGAGTTCAAAGTTACAACAGGCACTTATGTCCATTTTTCACATAACCGTTACAGCATCCCTACGGACACGCAATCAAAATTCACACGCTTGGCAACTGGCATGTACTTATGACAGTTGCAGGGTCCCTGGGTCACATGATCCCCTTTTGCGACCTTCTGATAAGCAAAGCCAACGAGGAAGTCAGATTCACTGTACAACCATGTTACTAACTTAACTCATTGATTCACTTAACTGCTGTGTTACTAACTTACTGTAAGTGCACCGATTCTTCTTCCATAGTTTAGAACAAGTTGCTAAAAAAAAGGGATAGATTTATTTCTCGCCCAACCCTAAGGCCAGGGAGGTTGATTTTATTTTAATTTTTATAAGGGCTTGCCCACAAATGCATTTATTGTTTTGGGGGGTTGTGGCTTTGCAAATTTGCAAAACCTGTGCAAGAAACACAGCACCCTAATTTTAAATTAAGAGTGGGACACTCCGTGGAGTGATGAAAGATCCATAGTGTGTGCACAATTCCTGGGAAATGAGACTTTCCCCCTATCTTTACTGTGAAGACAAAAACCTATTTTTGGTGGTGGTGGGGAAATAATGGCTTTAAAATATATATTTTAAATTGATAATTAAAGGGGGTAATTTTTGAACTACTAGGATTAAGATGAAACTTATTGGACAATGAAATAAAAGTATGTGATAAAATTGCAAATGTGACTGATAAAAGTATAATGAATATTGAAACAAAATAAGAATTTTAGATAATATTATAAAATAAGACATGAGAATACATGAAGAAAAATGAAATAAGCTAAGATATGAATTGAAAATGGATAAAATAAGTGTGATGAATATAAGAATATCTGAGAAAATTTACAGGAAGATGGGAAATGTAATGATATGATATGAAATTGAACATGAAAGATAAATATGTAACTAAGGTCATGTTTGTATTGAAATGTAAAAACCTGGAACCACATTGTTCACCAAAAGAGATGTTTTTAAAATGTATGTATGTATGTATGTATGTATGTATGTATGTATGTATGTATGTATGTATGTATGTATATATATGTATATTTATTTTCTCTTTTTCCTTCTGCATGACCCCAAATATTTTGGCAGTGGAATCTGGTTTGTTCCTCCCGGACACTAAAGCAAATGGCGCAGTCGATTTACATGGCTGGAGTTTTAATTGGCGGGATCTTATTCGGAGGCCTCTCGGACAGGTGAGGGACGATACCCAAGTTAAACATGTTGTAAAGGGGGAAACTGCTGTAGCTCGACTCAACTCTGCAACATAGGAATGTCTCTGAGTGTGTGCAGAATGTTAGGGCTTTTCTTTGTTAGATGCATTTAATTGCACCAATGAATGCCAAATTAATTGGCATTCATTAATGCAAAAAATTAATTTAAAAAAGGCAAAAAAGAAAATGCAGCAATATTCTTGGTGTGGTGTGGATCCAGGAATTAAAAATAGCTATTAATGTTGTAAGATGCTAAGGGGATAATGAACTGGATATCTTTGCAACTGAGTAATGCCTCCGGGCATGTACAAAGTGCTAGGGTTTTCTTTCCCAAATGCATTTAGTGTGCACCAATATTCTTGGTGCAATGCAGACACAGGATAGAATAACAGAGTTGGAAGGGACTTTGGAGGTCATCTAGTCCAACCCCCTGCTTAAGCAGGTGACCCTAGATCATTTCAGACAAGTCATTGTCCAGTCTCTTTTTGAGAACCTCCAGTGATGGAGCATCCACAACTTCTAGTGGCAAGCTGTTCTACTGGTTAATTGTCCTCAGTATTTGTAGGATAAAAGTACCAATCAATAGAATAAAATAACGGAGTTGGAAGGGACCTTGGAGGTGTTTTAGTCCAACCCTCTGCTTAGGCAGGAAAACCTATCCCACTTCAGACAAATGGTTGTCCAATCTCTTTTTAAAAGCTTCCAGTATTGGAGCATTTACAACTTCTGGAGGGAAGTCGTTCCACTGGTTAATTCTTCTCACAGTCAGGAAATTCCTCCTTAGTTCTAGGTTTCTTCTCTCCTTGCTTAGTTTCCATCCATGGCTTCTTGTTTTGCCTTCTGGTGCTTTGGAGAATAGCTTGACTCCCTCTTCTTTGGGGCAGCCCCTCAAATATTGGAAGACTGCTATCATGTCCCCCCATGTCCTTCTTTTCATTAGACGAGACATACCCAGTTCCTGCAACCGTTCTTTTGTATGTTTTAGCCTCCGGTCCCATAATCATCTTGGTTGCTCTTGTCTGCACTCTTTGCAGAGTCTCAAAACATCTTTTTTATATTGTGGCAACCAAAAGTGGATGCGATATTCCAAGTGTGGCCTTAACACAAGGCCTTATAGAGTAGTATTACACCAGGGGTCCCCAAACTTGTCAACTTTAAGGCTTGTGGACTTCAACTCCTGGAATTCCCTAGCCGGCCATCCTGCCTGGGGAATTCTGGGAGCTGAAGTCCACAACTCTTAAATGTTGCCAGGTTTGGAGACCTCTGTCTTACACTAATGTTGTAAGACACTAAGGGGATAATTAACCGGATAATTTAGCTTCTCTCTGACCCACCCAGTTCTGTACAGTGGTGTCTTATTGAATGACTCTGTAAAATATTTCTATTAATATTTACTCCTAATTTAGAAGACCAGGTTCCAAATGCTAAATGCTAAACTCGGTAAACGGGATAAAGGTCACACTGGGTTAATAGAAATAAATCACTGAAACGTCTCACAGAAACTGGCCCGTTTTGTACTACAGGTCGTCCTTGACCAACGACCGCAGTTGAGCCTAAATTTTTCCGTTGCTATAAGCGAGACATTGGTCAAGTGAAATATTCACCATTTTAACGACCTGGCTTGCCACAGCCGTTAAGGGAATCTCCGCAGTTGTTAAGTTAGTAGCACGGTCGTTAAGTGAATCGCCCTGATTTTGCTCGTCAGAAGGTCGCAAAAGGGGATTGTGTGTGACCTCGGGACTCCGCAACTGTCATGAGTACATGCCAGTTGCCGAGAGTCTGAATTTTGATCAGGGTCGTAAGTGTGAAAACGGTCATAAGTCCCTTTATTCAGGGGTGTTGTGACTTTGAACGGTCACTAAATGAACTGTTGTAAGCCGAGGACCCCCTGTATTACTTTCCAACTTCCACTGAAATTCCTCTGGCTGCCAAAGAGGTTTTTTTCAAAGTTTTTCTGCTTTGTTGCAACAAGCTCGAAAATTTCTTTCCAATTTAAATTGAGGTTTGAACACCGAGTTTCCCATTGGAAGCATGACGGTTGGGGTATACAGGTGGTCCTCAACTTACAACAGTTCATTTAGTGACCATTCAAAGTTACAACAGCACTGAAAAAGGTGACTTATGACCGCTTTTCACAGTTACGACCGTCTCAGCATCCCTACGATCGTGCGATCAAAATTCGGATGTTTTGGCCACCGATTCGCATTTATGACGGTCGCAGTGTCCCAAGGTCATGTGATGTCCTTTTGCAACCTCCTGACGAGCAAAGTCCACGGGGAAGCCGGATTCACTTAACAACCGGGCGACCGACTTGTCAACCGCAGTGGTTCGTTTAACAACCGTGGCAAGAGAAGTCGTAAAATGGGGCAAAACTCACCTGGCAAATGTTTCGCTTAACAACAGAAATTTTGGGTACGGTTGTGGTTGTACGTTGCGGATTGCCTGTACAAAGAAAGGGTCATTTGTGCCCTTACTAAATCAGAATGAAACGTTTTTTTTCCCTCTTTCCCGTTCTAACAAACTTCAGAAGTCTGTCAGCGTTCCAGCAAACCTCCACCCCAACCAATAACTCCGAGACAGGCATCTTCTCAAAAATTTCATTTTATTTTGGATAGTAAACTGGCACAACTGGGGAATCCCGAATCTGAAAGTTCCGGGCTTCCTTGCAATAAGTAAAAAACTACAAAATCCATCTCCTGCACCCATCATGATTGCATCCCATGCCCCAATCACCATCTGTCATGCCCCTGGTGGAGACTGACTCCGAGGGAGAGGAGGAACAGCCAAAAAGGAGTGGAAGTGTGGCTCCGGAGGCTGGGGAGGAGGCTGGGGAAGGGCAGAGGCCGGCTGGGCAGTCAGAGGAGGACCCAGGCCCATCCCTTCTTCATCCTAGGGCACGCAGGGAGGAGAGGATAAGGGAGACACGTGGTCTACTGGGGAGGAGAGGGCCTTGATCTCTTCATGGGCTGCAGCTGTGACAACTGGATAAGAGGACGGACATGCGTATGGGCCAGTGCTGGAAACAAAGCTTGGAAATATCTCTAGTTTATGGTTCCTCTCTGAATTTGGCGTCTTTCCCAGTGTGTGTTATCTGTGGACGTCCTCCAGCCCTTATCTTGCCCGGTTTGTGTTGCTTTTTCCCTTCTTCTTGTAATCGTTTGTGTGGGAGATTTTTGTCTTCCATCAAGAATATTCGGAGCTTGGAAGCAAAGTGAAAAAATAAAAGGGGCTTCGCCTGTTTCCTGTGACTGTGTTTGTTTTGTATCCCACCCTGGGTCATCACACCTGCCATCCCAACTTGAGATTTCCCCTCACTTATGCACAGAATAACATGACCTTGAATTAGAAAAAGAATGTTGTTATGTCTAACTACATACACTCCAAGAAATTTCCCCCCTCCCACTTTCCCAGGCTCAAAATGTGGCAGCGTGGGAGCATCTGCTTTCAATATGGCTTCCAAAGCTGGCAAAGTCAATGTTCTCGTGCACGACGGGATGAAAATGAGGCAGAATTTCAGCTCCATCCTTTCGTCCTAATATTCTCTTCATTCTCCACCTCTGTTCTAACCTTACTTCTTTTTCTGCCCCCTTGCAGATTCGGGCGCCAGCCAATCCTCTTGTGGTGTTACCTGCAGCTGGCCACAACCGGCACAGCGACGGCGTTTTCTCCCAATTTCAGCGTTTACTGCTTCCTCCGCTTTCTCACCGGGATGGCTTTCTCGGGCATCGTGCTCAACGGCGTCTCTCTGTGTGAGTCCCTGGGATCCTAACCATTGCCACGTGATCTGTCTTCCCCAGCGTTGACCGATTTGCGAGCCGTAAATGGAACCTCCACGGGCAGGAATAGTAGGCCTTCAAAGGTTCTTTTTTTTTTCAGGAGGCAACTGGACTTTCTTATTTTTTTTTCTTTTGAAGACGTTTCGCTTCTCCTCCGAGAAGCTTCTTCAGTTCTGACTGGATGGTGGGGAACGGAAGGATTTATACTCCTTGCAAGGCAGCTGGTCCTTTGCATCCTTTGTAGAGAGTCGTTGAGGCCACCTTTGCCAACACAACACACGTGCCCACCTCAAACCCAAGAATACACTAAAAGGCAGAAGCGTGTCCACCCCAAGGATAAAACAACCAGACACAAAATGAGCAACGTGGTATATGCAATACAATGCAGTGAGCCACATGCAGATCTGTACATTGGGGAAACAAAACAACCACTTCACAAACGCATGGCCACAACATAGGAGAACAAACCCATCAGGATGAGTTTCATCTGCATTTAAAAGACAAAGGCCGCTCTTTTGAAGACAGCTAAGTCCCCATTTTGGACAGAGAGGACCGCAGGTTTGAAAGAGGGGTCAAAGAGGCCATCCATGTCCAAATTGAACAGCCCTCTTTCCACTGAGGGGGAGGGATATGGCATCATCCATCTCCAGTGTACAACACAGTCAACAGTTCCAAGAAGTCTCCAGATCCCATTTGCACCACTAAGGTGATTCTAAGGCCAAAAATAAACCTCCAAGTGGCCTCAAGGATCCTCTAAAAAGGATGCAAATGACCAGCAGTCTGCAAGGAAGATAAATCCTTCCATCCTCCACCATCCAGTCAGAGCTGAAGAAGCTTTTTGGACAAGAAGTGAAACGTCTTCAAAGAAAAAAACAAGAACGTCCAGTTGCCTCTTGAAAAAAAAAACCACCTTTGGGACCGTGGTGGGATTCAAGAAAGTTTTACCACCGGTTCGGTGGGCGTGGCTTGGTGGGCGTGCTTTGCGCATGTGTACCTACTTGGCGTGCGCGCACCAAATGCACGCTTTGTGCAGGCGCAGAGGCGTTCCAACTCACCCCCTGCAAGCCTGCACTCTCCCGGTTGCTTCGGCAGCTGCCGCGCGGCACAGAGGATAAAGGGGAATATGGGAGCCCAGGCGGGCAGGTGGGCCCAACAGCAGAGAACGGCGGAGAAAACGGGTTCATTCTCCACTGCTCATCGCTGCTACCGGCTCGGCCAAACCGGGATGAACCGGTAAAATACCACCACTGCTTTGGGACAACCGTGACAGAGGATCTCCATAGAGAGTAGGCCTTCAAGTCACCGTTACTCTGTTATTTCTGGAGCGTGGTTTGCTTTCTTGTTAAATTTACCCCTTGGCAGCCCTAATGGTTTCTACTTGCCAATCTGAGTTTTTTTTTTTTTTCCCCTTCACCTGGGCAAGCTTGATAGCCTTCGAATGCTGGTTCTGTTCTTCCCAACAGGTGTGGAGTGGACGCCCACCAAGACACGGCCAGTGCTGGGGACCATCAATGGCTGTGCGTACACCACTGGGCAGCTTATCCTGGCCGGCCTGGCATATACTTTCCGAGATTGGCACCACTTACAGCTGGTGGTCTCTCTGCCTTATTTCCTGTTCTTCTGTTATTCTTGGTAAATAGGACATGGGGGGGTAAATTAAGGGAACCGGGAGACAGCCGTCTTTCCCATATCCTGTCCCCAATTTTAGCCTTCGTTAAGACCCATGGCAATGCACTAGTCCTCAGTGAGAAAACCAAAGGCACAATGACATATTTTCAACGACCAGCTTTTGCCGAGCTGGAAGCCATAGCATTAACTGGGGAATATTGGTTGATAAGCCTCGGCGTGGCTCTCCTTGTGGTGTCTTTTCCTTTTCTTCATCCTTCATCCACCCACAGGTGGCTTTCTGAATCGGCTCGCTGGCTGATAACAGCCGGGAAGCTCGAACGGGCCGTGACGGAGCTGAAGAAGGCGGCCAAAATGAACAGGAAAGAGGAAGCTGCTGGAAAGCTAAATGTGGAGGTGAAGACCCAAAAGATGTCAAGATTATTTCTGTTTATATGCATAATTGTGCCTCGTTTTGATCATACGACTTTTGGGGTGTCTTGCCATGGTCGTAAGTACGAGAATCAGCCGCAAGTGATTTCAGACCGTCATGAAATGGTCGTAAGTGGAAGGCTAGCTGTACGTGGGGTTTTACAATACAGGCAGTCTTCGAGTTATGACTGCAATCGAGGCTGGCAATTACGGTCATAAGTTGTGACTTTTTGTAAAGCAGCTCACCGCCCGACTAGATCCAATTTTACAACCTTTTTCCAGATAGTCATTAAGCGAAACTGGCAATTGTTAAGTGAATCCATTGTTTTCTCTGGGCCAGTTTTTTTTTTCCAGAAAAGCCAAAAAACGGCCATAAGTCACAGTCATTTGAGTGCAAAGTGTTGCAAATGGCCATAAATCCCAGCCGATTGTTGAGGGGCCAAAATGTGGTCACGTGACCCCCAAGGGCCGGGGGGGGGGGCAATATCCAAGCTTCAAAGCTGAGTGGTAGGTCATTTTGGGGAGGGGGGGGGAATGTCCATTGTAACTTTGAACAGTCGCTAAAGTGAAGTCTCATAAGTCGAGGACTGCTTGTGCCTCGGATCAGGTTTGCACACCATTAAAAAGCTCCCAGATTGAAAAACTCAAGCAGGCCTTGCAATGTGTCCCCCACTCTCCAGTTCCTCAGATCCAAGATGAAGGAGGAATTGGCCTCCATGACCTCCAAGACTTCGCTGCTCGACCTGGTCCGGACGCCGACCATGCGCCGCATTTCTCTCTGCGTCTGCTTTGTCTGGTGAAAAACTCTGGAAAGAAAAACTCTCTCCGTCCACTCTGCTTGGACTGGCTTTTAACTTAAGTTTCATTTCATTTAAAATTTAATTTAATGTTTTTATTTTATTTTATTTTATTTTATTTTATTTTATTTTATTTTATTATTTTATTTTATTTTATTTTATTTTATTATTTTATTTTATATTTTATTTTATTTTATTTTATTTTATTTTATTTTATTTTATTTTATTTTATTTTATTTTATTTTATTTTATTATTTTATTTTATTTATTTTATTTTATTATTTTATTTTATTTTTTTATTTTATTTTATTTTATTTTATTTTATTTTATTTTATTTTATTTTTTTATTATTTTTTATTTTATTTTATTTTATTTATTTTATTTTATTTTATTATTTTATTATTTTATTTTATTTCACATTTTATTTTATTATTTTTATTATTTCATTTTATATTTTATTTCTTATTTTACATTTTATTTTATTCATATCTTATTATTTTATTAGTTTTTTTTCATTTTATATTTTATTTCTCATTTTACATTTTATTTTATTCATATCTTATTTTATTTTATTTTATTTTTATTATTTCATTTTATATTTTATTTCTCATTTTACATTTTACTTTATTATTTTATTTTATTAGTTTCATTTTATTTTTTATTATTTCATTTTATATTTTATTTCTTACTTTACATTTTATTTTATTCATATTTTATTATTTTATTTTATCATTCTATTTTATTTTATTAGTTTTATTTTATTTTTTATTGTTCTATTTTATTTCAATTTATTTGTTACTTTATTAATTTTATTATTTCATTTTATGTTTTATATTTTACATTTTATTCATTATATTTTATTTTATTATTTATCTTAGCGTTCTATTTTATTTTAACGTATCTGTTATTTTATTAGTTTTATTTTATTTATTATTTTTATGTTAGTTTATTTCAGTTTTCATATTTTATCATTTCACTTTATTATTCTATTCTATGTTTTAATGTATTTATTTTATTTATTTCATTATTTTATATGTTCTGTTCTATTCTGTGTTATTATTTCATATTATCTTTATCCTACTTTTTATTTTATTCATTGCATTTTATTATTTCGTTTTATCGTTCTATTTTATTTTGATTTATTAGTTTTATTTTATTTATTATTTTTATGTTAGTTTATTTCAGTTTTCACATTTTATCATTTCATTTTATTATTCTATTCTGTTTTGTTTTACTGTATTTGTTGTTTTATTTATTTCATTACTTTATATGTTCTATTCTATTCTATTCATATTTTATCGTTTTATCACTTATTCGTTTATTTTTTCCTTTGGTCCCCTTCCCAAGGTTCTCCACCAGTTTTGCTTATTATGGGCTGGTGATGGACTTGCAGAATTTCGGGGGCAACATCTACCTGATCCAACTCTTTTTTGGAGCTGTTGACTTCCCGGCGAAGTTTCTTTCCGTCTTCACAATCAGCTACATCGGCCGCCGGTTCACCCAAGCCGTTACTCTCATCCTGGCTGGCTTAAGCATCTTGGCCAACATCTTCATCCCTCAAGGTGAGAAAGACTTTGGGTCTGGAGTAGCGCAATACTGGAACTCAAAGGTTTTGGGGAATCTTCTACAAGGTTTCTGGTTTTCTTCCCCATGAGAGAAAGCTAGAAAGAGTGCAGAGAAGAGCAACCAGGATGATGAGGAGACTGGAGGCTGAAACGTAGGAAGAACGGTTGCAGGAACTGGGCTTGGCTAGTCTAGGGAAGGGAAGGACCACGGGAGACAGGAGAGCATCTTCCAATATTTGAGGGGCTGCCCCAGAGAGGAGGAAGGGGGTCAAGCTATTTTCCAAGGCACCCAAAGGCCAGACAAGGAACGATGGATGGGAACTGATCAAGGAGAGATTCAACTTGGAAATAAGGAGAAACTTTCTGACAGGGAGAACAATCAACCCACGGAACAGCTATGGGAGAGTAATCATTTCAGACTTTCAAGAAGAGATTGGGCTGCCATTTGTCAGAAATGGTGTAGGGTCTCCCACTTGGGTGGGTGGGGGGGTTGGACTAGATGACCTACAAGGTCCCTTCCAACTCTGATTATCTGTTATCTGCTAAAGCATTTCAGCTTTAGAAGTTTTGGGGACGGCAGGGGGTGGACTTCAACTCCCAGAATTCCCCAGCCTGCACACTGGAAGTTGAAGTCCACCCATCTTAAATTATTCTGGCTGGGGAACTCTGGGAGATGAAGTCCAACTATCTTCAAGCCTGCTGGCTGAGGGATTCTGGGAGTTGAAGTCCATTCTTCATGAAGATGCCCAGTTTGAAAAAGAATACTTTAGAGAGGATCCTTTAGATTAAAGGGGCATACAAATGATAGCAAATAACAGAACCAAGTCTTCCATCTGGAAACTGGATTGGATGGATCGAGTTGATTCAGAACCACAGACAGCGTCTCTGCGTCGGTGACGGCAATTGGATCCCGTTACTTAAACTAGGCTGTGGTTCCAGCAACGTTCTGGAGGTAGCTTGTCAACTCTATCAAAATCGGGAATGTTATTCCCCCACTATACAACATATGATAACAGGGTTGGATGAGACCTCGGAGGTCATCTAGTCCAACCTCTAACCCCTCTACCATTCTGGACAAATGGCTGCCCAGGGTCTTCTTGAAGACTTCCAGCGATGGAGCACCCACAATTTCCTGAAGGTAAGCCACCCCCCTGATTAATTAACAGGATTACAGGGTCGGGAGGGACCTTGGAGGTCATCTAGTCCAACACCACCAACACCACCAGAGAGTGCGGTCTTCACCACGTACCTCTCCATTTCTCCCAGATATGCAAACCCTTCGGACGACCGTGGCCGTTTTCGGGAAGGGCTGCTTAGGCACCTCGTTCAACTGCATCTACTTGTACACTGGAGAACTTTATCCGACGGTACTTCGGTGAGAGAGCAAACCAGGGGGGAACCGCAGGGCAGGGGACTGTGAAAAGATAATTTGGGCTCCTCCGATGGAAGGAAAGGAAGGAAAAGTGGGTGCGAGTTAGCTGCTTGTGCGGGGGAGGGGGCTGTTGAAAAAAACAAACACAGGGGGTTTATATTGGGCCAAGTACCTCCATGAGGTCAAGCAGCATGACCAATCCCTTTTGCTTGTGTGTGTGTGTGTGGGGGGGGGGTGTCTGTCTGTGCAGGCAAACCGGGATGGGTCTCGGCAATACCATGGCTCGCCTGGGAGGCATTGTGGCTCCGGTGGTGAAGATGACAGGAGAATATGTCCCGTTCCTGCCCAATCTTATCTACGGTGCAGCTCCCATCATAGCTGGAATTGTGGCAACCTTTTTGCCAGAAACTCGCAACATCCCCTTGCCAGAAACGATAGAGCAGGTGGAGAACAGGTGAGGAAAAACGGTGGTCCCAGACCCTAAAAGGCCTTCTCTTTCCATGCTGATTCTTCGTCTGTAGCAAGAAAGCCAACTGACGGATTGAAGGATTTAAAATAATCATAATCATAATCACAATCACAATCACAATCACAATCACAATCACAATCACAATCACAATCATAATCATAATCATAATCATAATCATCTATATCCTATTAAAACTCTCATTGCCATGACCGTTGATTGGGGCATGATAGGGCCACGGTTTTTGAACCAAGGTTATTTCAAATAGGTTAACTTACAGAAACCATCCAAAAGCCAGGACCCATAAGCCTTGAAGGAATGAAAATTTGGGGAAAGTTCTGGTCGCTTCAGAGCTAATGACTGCTTGCCGCATTGCCACAGAGCAATCCTAATTGTTCTGTGACAGTTTCCCAGTCAGTTTAGCAATCCCTTGCTTCCTCTTCTTACTCAACAGCAGCCACTTACCTGTCTGCTGAGAAGGAAAGGAGGAGGAGGGGAGGGAGATCAGGAAGGATGGGGGAAGGGAAGGGAGGAAGGAAGGAAAGGAGGAAGGGGAGGAAAGGAAAAGAAAGGTAAAGAAAGGAAGAAAGAGGAAGGGAAGGGGAGGGGAGGGAGGGAGAAAGGAAAGAAGGAAGGAAAGAAGGAAGGAAGGAAGGAAGGAAGGAAGGAAGGAAGGAAGGAAGGAAGGAATTTTTCCAATATTCTCTGCCAGATTCCCACGAGGAAATTCAATGGGGAAGCCAGCAGGAAGCCAAAAATCTCTCTTACTCCCACTGCTTTTTTTTTTGCTTTTTTTTTGCCCATCTAGTTCATTCTGTTTAGGAACTACCTCTGAAGCAATGACCCAACAGGGCACAATAGTAACAATTTAAAAAGTGAAGGATACAAATTTCAAATCTCACCCAAAACCAGTTAAGTTTCAGTAACACAGCTGACCTAACTGTTTGTTCATCATCTGAGCTGGTGAAGCCCCTTTGCAAACCCACCAACACTTAATGGCATTTTCCCCTCTGAACAGGTCACGGAATAAGAGCCAGAAGCTGGATTTCCAGCAAACAGAGAGCCTCTTGCTCTCCACCAAGCCCAAAAGCCAGAAAATCAGTCCTTAAGGAGAGAAAAAACGTCGTATTCAGGATCTACCTTTGCAGGAAGATCTGTGAAAAACAAGAACAGTGTCACACTTTGGAATAATATGCCCTCCTGAGCTGCAGAGGTGGAAGCAAGCACGGAGATGAAGCAGACCAATAATATTCTGGATTTACAGGGGGGAAAAATAGAAGCTATTTGGAAAATATTCTACTGTCTGTACATTCATTCTGTCTGGTTTCTTTTTTAAAAAAAAGTTGAATCCACTTGTTTGCAAAGCATGGCCACATCCTCCTAATACATTAGTGCAAGCAAAATTTGGCATGTCTATTATATAGTTTAATGTGTCACCCAAACTAGATCTAAGCCTGTTGAAGTCCTGAGCTGATAATATAAAAGATGGTCGTCAGGTGGCAGCAGTGAGACACCAGAAAAATACATTTTGGCTTTCACTGGATCAATGTTTCTCAACCTTGGTAACGTTAAGATGGATGGACTACAACTCCCAGAATTCCTCAGCCCGCATGCTTTAAGATTATATGTGTGGAGTATAACTCCCAGAATTAAACCAAGCTGGCTGTGGAATTCTGGGAGGTGAAGTCCACCCAGCTTAAAATTACCATGTTTGAGCAACACTGCCCTAAATCAATCTAACTTAGCCCCTAAAAACTCACATTATAGTTTGTTTGTTTATTGCAACTAGGTAGGTACAGCCTAGGTTTCATTACGATGGGCTGTATAGGCTGTTCTATGCAATAGAATAGAATAGAATAGAATAGAATAGAATAGAATAGAATAGAATAGAATAGAATAGAATTCAGGATAGAATAGAATAGAATAGAATAGAATAGAATAGAATAGAATAGAATAGAATAGAATAGAATAGAATAGAATAGAATAGATGTAGAGGAGAATATAGAAGAGAAAGTAGAATAGAACGGTACAGAACAGGAATAGAATACAATAGGAATAGGAATTAGGAATAGAACAGAATATGGAATGAGAATGGAATAGGAATAAGAACAGAATATGGAATAAGAACAGAATAGAATTACAGTAGAGTAGAGTAGAGTAGAGTAGAGTAGAGTAGAGTAGAGTAGAGTAGAGTAGTGTAGTGTAGTGTAGTGTAGTGTAGTATAGTATGCAATAGAATAGAATAATAACTTTATTGTCACTTTAAATGTACACTAATTAGCATACATTAAAATGAGATTTCACTGCATATAGCTCTCAAAGGGTCGACACCTCCAATATATACTACATAAACATGACAAAAAATTATTTATACCCACATACACACACATATCTGACCCAGAGAAACAACACAGTCTAGTTTGGATGTATGCATATACACGGTGAGAAAAACGAATCTTGCGAATTTACCAGAAGGATGGCTTTGGGAACAAAGCTGTTACAGAATCTGGTAGTCCTGCTAGAAACCCAGCTCAAGGTATCTACCCTGGATGAAACATTCAGGGGCCCAACTCCTCTCTATAAAATGAATTAAAGTCCAGAGATTGAACTATTGATATATCCACTTTCATTTTCTCTATCTGCCATTCTGGTTTCACCCAAAATGCTCCATCAGATCAATTAAATGCTGGGTGCAAACTTGATGAAGCGGGCCTATTTAAATTTTAACTGATTGCATCAATCCACAAACCGTCCAGTCCATAATAGCAATAGCACTTAGATTTATATATCACTTTATAATGCTTTCCAGCCCTCACTAAGCGGTTTACAGAGTCAGCCTCTTGTCCCCAACAATCTGGGTCCTCATTTTACCCACCTCGGAAGGATGGAGGGCTAAGTCAACCTTGAGCCTCATGAGAGTCGATCTGCCAAATTGCAGGCAGCCGGCAGTCAGCAGAAGTAGCTTGCACTACTGCACTCTAACCACTGCGCCACCAAGGCTTTATATAACCTATATAATAATCTGTATAACCTGGTTAAATGCAAATAAACCTAGTCTGGTTAAAACAGACTATTGGGATATAATCAAGATCAAGGGAGGTACTAATACCACTCTATAAAGCCTTAGTAAGGCCACACCTAGAGTCCTGCATCCAGTTTTGGTCACCACACTATAGAAAAGATATTGAGACTCTAGAAAAAGTGCAGAGAAGAACAACCAGGATGATTAAGGGACTCGGGTTAAAACATACAATGGACAGTTGCAGGAACTGGGCCTGGCTGGTCTAGGGAAGAGAAGGACCAGGGGAGACAGGAGAGCATCTTCCAATATTTGAGGGGCTGCCACAGAGAGGAGGAAGGGGTCAAACTATTTTCCAAGGCACCCGAAGGCCAGACAAGGAACAATGGATGGAAACTGGTCAAGAAGAGATTCAACCTAGAAATAAGGAGAAATTTTCTGACAATGAGAACAATTAACCCATGGAACAGAAGTTGCCTTTGGAAGTTGTGGGAGCTTCATCCCTGGAGGCTTTCAAGAAGAGACTGGACTGCCATCTGTCAGAAATGGCATAGGGTCTTCTGCTTGGCCATGGGGTTGGACTAGATGACCTACAAGGTCCCTTCCAACTCTGTGAATCTGGTTCTAATGGATTGGTCCATTTCTGGATTCTGCCAATTGCTAAACTGAGGATTGGGGATTGAGTTTCAAAAATGCCAGCTAATTCCTCTCATGCTGTAACGGTTGTAAGTGTGAAAAATGGTCACGAATCACTTTTTTCAGTGCCGTTGTAAGTTCAGTTACTAAATGAATGGTTGTAACCCGAGGTCTATCTGAACAGAGCTATTGCAGCAAAGGTATTAGTAATCCAAGCAGAAACGAGAGTCTTCTCCAAGATTTTGGAAATATGCCCCTCCCACCCAGAGGTGGTATTCAGCAGGTTCTGACCAGTTCTGGAGAACCAGTAGCGGAAGATTTGAATAGTTCGAAGAACTGGCCAATACCACCTCTGACTGGCCCCGCCCCCATCTATTCTCCGCCTCCCGAGTCACAGCTGATTGGCTGGGTCTTCTTTGGTTGCCCTGCACAGGAGAACGGAGCTGGAAAGCAGGCTAGTGGGGTAGGGAGGGAATGGGGATTTTGCAGTATATCCTTCCCCTGCCACGCCCACCAAGCTACGCTCACGGAACCAGTAGTAAAAAAAAATTTTAATCCCACCTTGCCAACAAGTAGAATGGAAGCCCCGCCTCTCAATTTACATATTCACAATAGGCTTTGAATGATTTCTGCAATCTGGGTTAATTTTCTAGCAGCCCACCCCTGGGTTTTCACACCTGTTTAACCAGGTCAGCGGAACAGCGTGGCGCAGCATTGGCACCACTGAACTGAGGTTCATTTTGAACTTGGCTTAGTGACGGGGTGTCGTGCTGTGTCGTCCAACACCTTTAGATAATTGGGAGGTGGGGGGAGGGTTCAACTAGCTGGTGCAGATCCAGAAAATGGATTCCTTCTGCAACCAAGTTTAAAATGAGCGTACAGGGTAGTCCTTGACTCACGACGGTTCATTTAGTGGCCATTCAAAATTACACCAGCACTGGGAAAAAAGTGACTCATATTTATGACGGTTGCAGTGTCCAGGAGTCACGTGATCCCCTTCTGCGACCTTCTGATGGAGCCCGGTTCACTTAACTACCAGGTTCCTTAACTTAAAAACTGCAGAGACTGTGCTTAACAACTGTGGCGAGGCAGGTGTTAAGCCACATGGGGCAAAACTCACTTAATAATTGGCTCGCTTGCCAACAGAAATATTGGGCTCAATATTTGGTCGTAAGTCAAGGACTAGCTGCATAACTCTGGTTTCCCACCTTAACATTGGATGAGTTTCTTGCTTTCTCCCTGGCGTTTCTTGCTTTCTCCCTGGC